TGCCATGTATAGCAGCCTGTGATGCTGGTATCCTATCTGAGAGCCTGTTCATATCCCAGCTGCTCCACTTCTGATCCAGCTCCCTGTTATGGCCTGGGAAAGCAGTAGAAGGCTGCCCAAATCCTTGGGCTCCTGTACTCACTTGGGAGACCCAGAAAATGTATCAGTTTCCAGCTTCAGAATAGCCCAGCTCTGACCACTGTGTTCATTTGGGGAATGAACCAGCAGTTGGAAGGCATTTCTCTCCTCTTTCTGCAACTCTGACTTTCAAAAAAAATTAATTAAAAACAAAAAAGAAGCAGAGTAGCTGAGACTCTAAATGACTCTCTGATATAAGATGTGGGTTCCCAAGTGGCAGCTATACCCACTGAGCCACAATACCCATCTCTTAACTGCTTGGCCAATGGTTGTTCCACCTCAAAATTTTGACTTGATTATTTCCTCATCATTAAGAACTCAAGACAGAAAACATAAAGCAAGATTCTGCTTTATTTTATCGAATAATAACAACGTATTTTAAACTCCTATTTCTATTTGACTTGAATCCATTTTCTCTCTTCACCATAAAGACAAATATCAAACAAATATCTTCATGTCCACTCTCTCTGAGGGGTTACAATTTAGGAGAAACCCACAACACAAAGGTACTTCTTCAGGACCTTTATCTTACATTATCTTCTACTTACAATCCTCTAACCAAGCTTAGTGTATTTCTTCAAAGAAACCAAGGCCTTTTTCACACTAAGTGCTTCCCTCGCAGCAGTCTCTGCTTAGAGTTTGCTTCTCTATGCCTTCTAGCTAACCCATCAATTTTCAGGTCTGCTTAAATGCCATTTTCTCAGGAAAGTGCTCTCAATATTCATAATCTAAATTCACGTCCCCTTTTAGAGTCTCTGTTGCACTCTTTATTTTTCTTCCAGGAACTTACCACATTTACAATCATGTTTCTTTCTGTGACTATCTGACTAATCTCTCCCACAGTACTTACATGCAGGAAAGGCCTGGGACTAAATCATGCAGGCGAGCATTGTGGCTTTCAATGGCTTTCACTTTCTCGGTGTAGAGAGCACCAACTATTTATTTACTTATGGTTCGCAGATAACTTATCCATGGCACAGGACATACCATCAAATCACACCCTCAAATGCTTCAGTGGCTTCTGTGATGTTAAGAGCCCCATCCTGACACTTCTCACTCTGCTGACTCAAGAACATTCAAGGAACAGTGCACACGAAAATTGTTTATCTACCTAGACTCTAAGCTTTCCTAGGCCCACTGTAAATGTCAAGGTTTTACAGACCCTACTTCAGTTATGCACTGTAAAATCTGCTGGATAAAGGGACAACTCTGTATTTTTCATCAGGTATATGTGTTTTCTAAGAGAAACACTGAAGAGTTTAATTAGTGAAGAGTTCATGGCTTCCTCCCTACACATAAGCTTAAAAGGCACAAGCAAATTGTACCCAATGGTCAACCTGAAGCTCCCTAGGAAAAACATTACAGGAGGTGGAGGCACAGTTAAGAAGGCACAATGGGCATGCATCCTCAAAACTACTGCAACCTTACAGTAACACCAAATTTCTTTAGGTTCCCCCAAAATAGGTCAACCTTCAGACTTTTGCTGAGAGCAAAAAACACAACAGGAGCCAATAGTCTAATAATTATATTTCTCCTCCCTGACCTCAATCACCAGTAAAGCAATCTGTTCTCAGAGCATGCAAGCCTGAGGACCAGAATCTGGAGCCCAGATTCTCTTTCCTGCCTTGGTTTCACTGCTTCATCTCAACAGTTAACCTCAGCTGTAAAGGAGGTCACCAGCACTAATACATTGCCATTCTATGATATCACATTGTTTTAAAGGGATTTTACCAAAATCCATGGAGGCTGTACAACTGCTACGTTCTACTGCTCAGGCTAACTCTAACATTCTCTAATTCTCAGGAATAAATTTAAACAGAATACTGTAAAAGAGAAGGCACGCAGGAACCAGACACCACTGGATATAATATGTTGACAGAGAAGCAAAATTATTCAGTTTAGAAAAGTAAACCCATAGTTTTTCAAGCACTAAAGGGACAGAGGTCACAAAAATGACTTATTCTGTTTTGTTTTATGGAACCTCATTGATTAATGGGTAAAGATTGCAGGAAAGAACAGAAAATGATATGACAGAAAAGAAGAAATTTAATAGCCAACTTGTTCTGTAAATAGAGACTTCCTCTGAAATAAACTGCGTCCCTTGTCATCGGCCTCAGAAGCTAAATAAGGATGTAAGATTGTCCTCTCCTTTCTTTGCTCTCTCTCCCTCTGCCTTTTGAGTAAGCAAGATATTTTTAAAAGGTTAAATAAGCAATATTCTGTGGGCCATTTTACAGCATAAGTCAACAAATTTTTACACAATGGGATTTGTGTCTCACATATGATCCCTTAAAAAATCTAAAAGACACCCTTAGCTTTCAGGCTATACAAAAGCAGGCAGTAGCCTAGTGGCTAAAGTCCTTGTTTTGAATGCACTGGGATCGCACATGGGCACCAGTTCGTATCCAGGCAGTCCCTTTTCCCATGCAGCTCCCTGCTTGTGGCCTGGGAAAGCAGCAGTGGACAGCCCAAGGCCTTGGAACCCTGCACCCAAATGGGAGACCCAGAAGAAGCTCCTGGCACCCAGCTTCAGATCAATTCAGCTCTGGCCATCGCAGCCACTTGGGAAGTGAATCAGTGGATGAAAGACCTTCTCTGTCTGTCCTTCTCTTTGTATATCTGACTTTCCAATAAAAATAAATAAAGCTCATAAAAAAAAACCCAGGTGGTGTGCTGACCCTTGTTCAGAAATATACTATCTAATAGAAATGAGTCATACATGTAACTTAAAAGTTTTCAGTATGTACATTTAAAAGGGAGAGTTATAGTTAATTTTAATATAGTAACTCAACACATTCAAAAAGTTATTCTAACACATAAACAATAATTACTAAACAAGATATTCTATGTTTTAAAAAAACTAAGCCTCTGAAATCCAGTCTCTGTTGTATACTTCTGTTATCACCATTTAAATGCTCCTATCCCATGTGCTCACCAGCTATGGCACTCTCAGAGATCTGGCAGCTCCCGTCAAGCTGAAGCATTCCACGGACAAACACAAGAGGTAACATTCCTTCCAATACTTAATGGTTCAAATCAACGATGGAAACAAAGACCTAGCTGGTAAATGATACTGGCAGGACCGGAAAGCTATCTGGAAACTATGAAGCTGGATTCTTCCTTGCCTCTCGCTGTAATATAAATTCCAGACCAGAACATCAATGCAAAAAGTAAAATAATAAAAACACTATAGGAAGTACTTTCTTACTGTTTTAAAGTGGGAAACACCTTTTAGGGCATACCACAAAATTTCAGAAAGAAACAGATTAGTAAATTTACTTAATAGATTCAATGTTGAGATTGCTGGAGGGGGGCAGTGCTAAGCCCAGTGGATAATATACCCATGTCAGGGTATTGTGGCTCAGTGGTTTAAGCTGCCACTTGGAATGCCCACATCCCATATTGGAATGCTGGTTCTAGTCCTCACAGCTCCACTTCAAATCCAGCTCTCTGATAAAGATCCTAGGAAACAGGGGATGATGGTGCAAGTACTTGGTTCCTGCCACCAAAGTGGAAGACCCCAATGGAGCACTTGGCTATTGGCCCCGGCCTGGCCTGGCCTGGCCCCAGCTGTTGTGGATGACAGATGTCTTTATTTCTGCTTCTCCCTATGTCTCTGTCACCTTGCCTTTCAAATCAATCTTTTCTAACAAACAAGATAAGGACATAACTGCGTTCAGTACTTGACTTTGTTTCCTAACTCCAGCTTCCAGCTAATGCAGACCCTGAGAAGTAGCAGTTACGTCCCCCCCTCCACCCACATGGGAGTCCTGGATTGAGTTCCTGGCTCCCAGCTCTGACGTGGCCCAGGCTAGTCCTGCAGAGTGACTCAGATACCTAAGTCTGTCTCTCCCTCCCTCCCTCTCTCTCTCTGCCTGTAAAGTAAAGAAACAATTTTAAAATATTAAATACACTTGAAAGGTATGCAACAGAGAGAACTATTTCAAATGTGGCTTATAGGGTTTTAAAGACCCTTAATATAACAAGGGGCCTTTATATAAAGACAAAGCCCAATAATGAATTGAATAAAGCACACAGCTAGCAAGATGAAAAAAAAATGACCAGTAAGGAGAAAGGAAATAAAAAAAAAAACACCAAAGTGTTAGATTGGCAAGGATTGAAAAAGACTCATTTTTTTCATCTCTCAGCATTAAACATGAAAATATCAATGTGTAGGAACTTTCTTAGGGCAACTCTGTAGTACATATAAACATACACTCCTACTTTCAGTAATTTGACTTAAGAGGTAATTACAAAAGGGCAAAAAGATGCAGGTATAAAGATATTCAGGGAAGCTTGCTTTTTGAGGACAAACTGCAAGCAACTTAAATACTACCAAAAAGCTTGATTATATAAACAGAAGGTCATGAAGGGTAAAAGGTAGGTTTTTGGGAGTAAATACAAGGTATAAAGCAAAATGTATAGCCTGGTCCCACTTATAAGCAGACTAAGTCAACTTAAGACACAGAGGTGGATTGAAAAGGCAATTTCATGCAATGTCATTCTTCAGCCACCGCGCTTTCCATGTTTGACCACTGTAAGACTCGTAAGAGCACAGGACTATGGAATATAAATAAAATTGGACTATACTTGCCGACATTCCTCTACATCTTTTCTATCAAAGTATCCAAAAGTTAGCAGAACTCTCCACCAAGCAGACTCAACAGATCACTGTCAGTAATCAGTGTGTCCCTGAAGAGAATAGTCTCCAAGTGAATAAAAGGATGACAAACATCAAAAAGTTTTCCTAATTGAGGAACAAAAAGTCAACATCTATTTCAACAGTTAAAAGGCGGGCTTTTATTGAACTGTCACACTACCTCTCCAACAGGCAGGCAGTGGAGACATTTTAAGGGTATTACCTTTAGGAGGAAAATATGACTTGCTTTCAGCTTTGTGAGGCCAGTCCACTACAAGAGGTCCAAACCTGCGGAAGCTGGCAGTGATCTCATCTACAAAACAAAGAAGGAATTGCAGCAAAAGAGAAAAAGTTATTGCAGTCAGAATAACACAAAATATATCCTTTTATTAAAAAAAAAAAAAAGAAAAAGACTTGAAGGCTATTTCTTAAGCGTTTCTACAGATGTCAAATTCACTAAGTGAAATACCATTGCTTTTGTGTATATTTGGTTACTCACTTTTAACCATGCAAAGTATATTTCTAAGCCAAAATTCATTTCCTTTTCTAACCAGTTAACTTGACTGATGTTAGTTAAGGTGGACCACTATCTCAAGTAAAAAGAAGAGGCTAAAACAGGAATATTCTCTGCCTATATGTATGTATGCATATGTGTGTGTGTGTAAATATATAATGTACAGTAAATGACTAACATATAGTTTCATGTGCATGAAATCTTTATGGTTATTTTAGAAATAGAACCAATTATTGATGAAGGGAAGCAGCAATAAGTAGGCAATTCTATTTGGTGCTAAGATTAAGTTAAAAGCCCATGGTCACTTTTTCTCTAATACTTACATACTAAATACCTCGTAAAAATATATATATATAAAGAAATCACAAGTCAATAAATTTATTTTGTCCTCCTGACTTTGACTCAGAGGAGGATACAACTCAGTTTTTAGTCAGATTTAGATTGCCACTTTCTTGTAACCCATAACAAATTTCTTCCAAAAGAAACCTACTAGATGAAATCAGCATGGCAGTGAGAACAGGTTTGGAGGGAAATGAGCATCCAGCTCTGTGAAACTTGAATGTAGTACATCTAAAATAAAACTTTTCAGAAGTCTTTCTCATCTTAAAGAAAACAAACCCCCTAATAAAGAGGTATTACAGCAGGAATAATACTAGTTTAACAAGTCTTTCTTAATAGTATTTTTACAGCAGATCTAAAGACTATTGATATTGTTTTCCCTTTTATCATAAATTCATCTCATCTGACTATTAAGCAGATTACTGATAGCATACTGGGTGCTAAGATGAACATTTTACTGACTTTGGTATAAGTGTAAATGTCCTTTTGGATGGCAGTTATCTCAAAAATATTAAGAAAATTCTAACATGCCTTTAATCTATAAAAGGTTAAGGGGTGAGTATGTTTTTTCACTAAAAGGTATTTACATTAAAGGGTAAGATGGTATGGTATGATGGGCATAAGCAATAGGTCTATTATTGAACTGACTTTAACTGCAAGCTGGCTACTTAGTCCTGGACAAATAATTTCCCTCTGGGGGCTAGTGTGGTGCAGCACATTAAACTTCTGATTGTACATGCTAGCATCCTATTTGGGCATTGGTTTGAGTCCAGCTGTCCGCTTCCAATCTAGCTTCCTGCTAGTGTGCCTGTGAAAGCAGTGGAAGATGGCCCAAGTGTTTGGGCTGATGAACGCATGTGGGAAGCCCAGAGGAAGTTTCTGGCATTGGCCTGTCCCAGCATGTACTACATTTGGGGATTGAAACAACTGACAGAAGATCTCTCTCTGTTATCTCTTTTCTCTCTGTAACTCTGCTTTCAAATAAACCTTTAAACAAATATTTCTGATTTTCCATTTCTTTCTACAAAAGAGAGGTGATACAACATACTTAGTAAGATAGACACAAGAGTTAAATGAGAAAAAATAATGTGAAGTGCTTAGTATTAATGGATTTAGTTATGGTAAGAGTTTCTTAAGTATTAGCTGCTGGTAGTATTGTAGATTTTATCCCTAAATTAATCAATAGACTATGGGAAGATGTCAGAAGACTGCTATGTTCCTATATATGAAAAAACAAACCAAATCTAATTTTTCCTCACTTCTCAAATATTCTCAGCTCCTACATACTAAGATAAAAATGTACTACAGTGGACTTGGAGGAGAGAATCAGGCCAAATGACATACAAAACAGACCCAGCCTTGGAAAAATCATTAATGAATGCATAGTACCTTCGTCAATATCAGGAGGAAGGCCTCCAACAAACACTTTTCTAGAGTAGCGCTCCACTCGTTCTCCATTCTGACAGCGAGTGGGAGAACTTAAGCCAGATGACAATGCCTGATCGCCATGGCTGTCTTCCAGGAAGGCATCTTCAAAGGGAAAGAGCGAAGACCGACCTGAAATAGATGTGGAGGTTTCTATCATTAAAATCGTTGTCCTAGGCAACACATGACTTTTTAGAAGTCCCAAGTACAGAGTGAAACATACAAAATATGGTCTTTTGGGGGTGTTGTAGGCTTTCCAAATGCGATCTTTTGGGCAGCTGAAGATGACCAATCTAAACAAGTTTACATCACCTTGTCTGATTGAGGCTGTGTACAGCACTGATATGACTAGATTCATATCTAAGGAAGAATTATCAGAGCACAGTTGTTTTCCTTGCTTTAAAAAAAAAAACTACATTTCACTGATACAATCCTCATCACGTCTGCTAAGAGTATATTTAGCCATTATTTTTCCTTCCTTCACTCATTTTTTGCAATATTCTTGATTCATAGTTTTTTTTTTTTTTAAATCTGTTCCTTATGATGTTATCAGACCTTCAGCCTTGAAGACTGGCTCCGATAACTATGGAAGTTAAATAAACCTACCGAAAAGACTGATAATCTCTCTTCTGGTAGCAGGACTGAAGATCGGCAGGTTTGAGGTCACCATTGTGGCAAAGCAAGTTAAAATACTGCCTGTGTTGTCAGCATTCCATGTCAGTATCAGTTTGAATCGGGGCTGCTCCGTTACTGATTAGCAACCTGCTAATGTGCTTGGGGAAGCAGCAGAAGATGGGCCAAGTTGGGCCCCTGTCACCCATGTGAAAGTCCCAAATAAATGGAATTCCTGGCTTTGGCGTGGCCCGGTCTTGGTCAATGTAGCTGTCTAGAGAGTGAACCAGCAGACAGAAGACTTCTTTAGCTCTGTCTTTGCCTTTCAAAAATAAGTCATTGTTATTTAAAAAAAATCATCAACTTTTCCATTATCCCAAATTCCTCCAATTTGGAAATAAACATCTACAATAATAGAGTAAGGAAAATAAATCAAAACATATACATTAAGATTACATATGTAGATGCAGTTATGATACCTTAACCTTACTAATTTAGGCTGTATATTACTCAACAAATATGTGAAAGGGCTATAGAATTATTTTCATTATTAACTCTGCAAATAATGTCACAAACAAAAGGGAACCATCCTTTCCATGCAGTACGAACCTGTTAATATTAACACAGAATTGCTGTTGGGCATTGTGTTTATTTAAAAACAAACATATTTCCTGTTTGAGTCTGTGAGTTCCCTGGAACACTTTCCACAGGAGCCGCTCTAAAACATAAATCTTTCTGAGTTTGTTCTTGACAAAAGGAAAAAATTTCCTTTTAATATACTCTCCAAAAATAAAGAAATCTGCCTCCATTTTGTCTTGTTCATAGCTCCCTGAAACCTAGGTTTGCTTCATTCGCAACAGCTAACTCTAAAATAGAATACAAACAGCCTTAGAGAAAACACCAAACATTCATTTCTTTTACAAAAAAGAAATTGCTAGTATAACTTCATTTTATAAACAACCCAGGTGTGTAAGAAAGAAATTACTTTGGTGTTGGGAGTTAATAAAGAAAAAGACTGAAGAATTTTTTTTGTTCAACTCTTCCTGGGTTAGTTACAATCAAACAGAATAAAAATCGTCACCTTTTTTAGGTCGGCAGGAACAAAAGACAGTAAATTCTCATCCCTTGATATTTGTTTTGATTACTAAGGGTACAAGAAATAGATGTACAGCAACCAGAGGCAAACTGAACTTCCCAAAGACATTTAGAGACATTCTCCCACAGCTGACAGCTTAGATTTCCACAGTCCACACGTAGATCACATACTTAGCATTGAGCACATGCCAAATCTGCACTCTCCCACGGAATGCTCCTAGTCCCCACCCTTACCTTCAAGACCAGAAACATGAGGTGCCCAGAAAACAGAAGCTGGTAGAGAGAAGGGGGAAACAAGATAACTTGGGAACATACTGAGTATTTCATGCCCTTTCTACAGTTCGGTCCGTGACAGAAAATGAAAAGACTGAAAAGTACTGCAGGAAAGTAAATGTTAACTTGCTCCAGCATCATGCTGACTTTAAGATAAAGGAATCCTTAACACAAAAAACATAGTAGAAAATATTTGAGGAAATATTGATTCACATTCTACAAACAAGATAATCCCTGCCAGAGGAAACACAGCCTGGCTAGGAAGATGGGTGAAGACACAAGTGTAAAATCCAGCAATGACTTCAAGCAGAACCAAGAGCACGACAGATACTCTCTTGGAGTAAAGAGGAATGGCCTTGACAATGATTTCACAGGAGGGCATTTCTGTTCAGAATCTAGTGGAAGCGGAAGTTTCTGCAAGGTAAAACACAAGAATCCACACAGAGAAAATTCTTTCAAAACAGCTCTTGACTTTCCTTCTGAACTCATTCTTTCTTCAGCAATCCCTAAAAGTCCCAATAAAGGGATCTGGAGCAATGGCCTAGTGGTTAAAATCTTGCCTTGCAAGCACAGGCATCCCATATGGGTGTTGGTTCATATCCTGGTTGTACCTATTCCCATCCAGCTCCTTGCATGAGACCTGGAAAAGCAATTTAGGATGGTCCAAAGCCTCAGGACCCTGCACCCACATGGGAGAACTGGAGGAGGCTCCTGGCTTTAGATTAGCTCAGCTGCAGCCATTGAGGCTACCTGGGGAGTGAACTAGAAGATGGAAGAAAGATCTTTCTGTCTCTCCTTTACTTTGTAAATCTGCCTTTCCAATAAATATAAATAAATCTTTTCCTTTAAAGTCTCAATAAAAATGTTTATTATTTAGACTTGATTCACTCCTCAAATCTAGGAGTTATCCAATGTCTCCCTCTCGTATCCCACTGTCTACTCCATCCCTCATTAAGTTCTAGTAATTCAAGCTCCAAAACAGATCTTCCACCAGGTTCTCCGCAAGGTGGTCCCATCATCCTTAAGTCCAGACCATCTCCTCTCCCTGGACTCAGCTTAATCAGCACATACTATAAGCTCCTGTAGTCTGCAGACTTCTATCTTATACTCCCATTGTACTTTCCCCACAAAACAAAGCTGCAATTTTCATACATTAATCTGAACACAGACCACATTGCTCATTCTCAATTTTAAAAGCCTTTAATGTAATACAGAAACAAGGCTGTGAACTGCAAGGTCTTTGTATACTTCTACATTAGAGTTGCTTTCTCTCCCTCTTGTTCAACCTCTGTGTTTCCTGACGAATCCTCCTTCCACCAGCCCTTAAGGGCACATGGTACTCCTACCTAAAATAAGTTACCCACTCCAATTTTCAAGTTAGCTCGTACTAATTCTTTGGGTCTTGGCTTAAAAGTCAGTTCTTGGAACTGGCACCCCATTAAAGTAGGCTGAGACTCTCCCTGTGGTGACAGCAACCCACACTGGTTTGAACATACTGGTTCATGCCCCGACTGCTCCATTACCAAGCCAGCTCTCTGCTTATGGCTTGGGAGGGCAGCAGAGGATGGGTGAAGTTTTTTGGTTCCTGCACGTGCATGCAAGATCCCGAGAAGGCTCAGTCTGGCTTTTGTGCCATTTGGGGAGTGAGCCAGAAGATGGAAGATCTCTCTCTCTTTTTCTCTCTCTCAGTACGTCTCCTTCTCTCTGTGCAACTCTGCCTTTCAAACAAAAATAAAATCTTAAGAAAAAAAAAAAGGGAGGAAGTCTACCTCATCCCATTAAAAACAAGTTTATTTGGTGGAACTTTCTTGAGCCTTTTGCTTAAGTTAGGCCTCTTTATCCATGCTCAGTACTCTATATTCCTTAACACTTACCCTGATTACCATTATACTATTTATATGAGATTTTGTTGGATATCTCCTTCTTCAGCCCATTCAAATGTAAGGTTCATTAGTACAGGGACCAACTTAACCTTGTTCGTTCCTTTATCTTCCTGTTCTAATTAGGGCACATAAAAAGCATCCAAAAATGTTAAATACATGTACCTGCTTGTGGCACACTGGGATGAATCTGCTGGTATTGCATTTGGGCACTGGCTTGTGTTCTGGTTGCTGCTTCCAATCTAGCTCCCTGCTAGTGCTCCCGGGGAAGTAGAAGAGAATGGCCCAAGTGCTTGGGATCCTGCCACTGACATGGGAAAAATGGATAGAATTTCAGGTTCCTGGGCTTGGCCTGATGGCCCAGTGGTTAGCAAGCACCAGGATCCCATATGGGCATCAGTTCCTGTCCCAGTTGCTCCACTTCCCATCCAGCTTCCTGCTCATGGCCTGAGAAAGTAACAGAGGATGTTCTAAAGCCTTGGAACCCTGCACCTGCGTGAGAGACCTGGAAGAGGCTCCTGGCTCCTGGCTCCCGGCTTTGGATTGGCTCAGCTCTGGCTGTTGAGGCTACTTGGAGAATGAACCAGTGGATGGAAGATATTTATCTCTGTCTCTCCTTCTTTATGTAAATCTGCCTTTCCAATAAAAATAAATAAATATTAAGAAAAAAATAATAATTTCAGGCTCTCAGCTTTGCCCTATCCCAGCTCTGGCTACTGCAGCCATTTAAGAAGTGAATCAGTGTATAGAAGATCTCTCTCTGCTTATCCCTCCCTCTGTATATATAACGCTGCCTTCAAATAAACAAATTAATCTTTTTGTAAAAATGTTGCATATGAAGCAACATCAGGGAAGGAAAATAGTATGTGCAAGGACACACTGCGAGTATGTGCTAGAACCTTATACACAGTGGTAAGAAAGAAGGACAAGAGGTAAAACCATGCCCTAGATGACAGAGGCCTTCCCTATGGGTTTTATTAGATCGAACAGTATGTTCCATCTATTTTTATTACAACAGCAATGAAAACCTTTTCCACTTTGAAAATCATTTCATATTCGTAACAACTTTTTAAGCAACTATACTCCCTCCTTGAAAACCATGATGCTCCCATGCTACCCATCTTTTATCCTGCTCAACTGACTTTCCTAAGCTACTCTGTTATACTCGAAATCCCACAAAAGCTTTTATCACTTTCACCAGCAGTTTGAACCGAAAAAGAGTGCATGAGTTGAAAGTCTGAGGAAATCTGTGGCCAGCCAGATGAGAGATGA